GGGGGGGGGGGATAATCTCCGGGCGTCAATTTTTGTGCGCTTTATTGTCTTTTCGTTCACCGTGTTTTAATTTCAAGCTTCAGCGTTCTTACTGTTCTGAGCATCAACGATCTAAGCAATCTTCCATCACCAGAGCATGGCAAACGCACTGCAGTTAGCCGCAAGTGTGAAATTTTACCGTGCAAAACACATGATATATATGATGGATTATAATAGGTCAAGCCACTGGCCCAACATGTCGTTCCATGCGTTATCTCCAAAGATCGTATCATGTGTATTGTAGCAGAGAATCTTTGGTATCTCCGCCGTCTTCTAAAAACAGTCTGTGGGTATCCCATGATATGATGACATAATACTACTAAAATATAAGCAGCCGATCAGGCAGGTGCGTCATTCTACTTTTAGCTGCATGTCATTGTGAGAACTGGTAATCGTTGGGGGTCACCAAAGTTCATTCAAAGTCTGTGTGCTGCGAAGTATAGGGTTCCAGAATGGGGGGATTATTGATTTTTTAAAACGAAGTGACTATTTCTCAGAACGCTCGGGAAAATGAAGTTGAACTCTATTTCTCCGAACGGTTTCTGATCACGAGATTTTTTGGTTATTTGCTAGATTCAGGCATCATCCTTCATAATTTAATTCTGTCATTCTGCAAGGACTGGGAGGAAGCATTTTTTGCATCGAATTCAATTTTTAGAGCTTTCTAGCTAGAGATTTTTAAATGTTTGAATATTCAGATACTTCAGTTGTGGTTGGGGCAATGTTCCCGCACTAAACTTCATTTGAAAATACCTTCAAAAGGTACTGCGAGAAAACAAGACTGCTTGACCTTGACAGTAGCCTATTTTGCATTTAGTCACGGAGCAAAAACTAAAATCCTTCATGTAAAAAAAAATTCCTTCACGCCCCCACCCCCCGTTCACACCTTACACACACACGGGCCACTCCATTTGCTTAAACTGACCGAGTTGCCAGGGTGAAAAGACCACCGTTTTTTGTTTTTTTTTGTGTGGCGAGAACAATTTTGGCACTAAAAACTGTCCCTCACCATTATTTTGTGAATTATTTAGCAGGGGGGACCCCCCTGCATCCCCCCTTTTTTGAACGCAACTTCCAGTTTTGTTTCCTATTGTGTACATTATAATGTATAAATGTCTATTGCGTTAGGCCAGGACCGCTTCTCCCGAAGAGAACCAATTATGCTTATGATGTTTATGCTTTTTGTGGTGGCTTCAATTTCATTTTACTGTAATGTAGGCCTATTTAAGCTATTTTTTTCCTTTCTCGATCGCTCACTAGAAAAGAATGTAAGCCTAGGCCTATTACTGAAATACATCGACCTGGGAACCAGTGACCTCGTCACACGGTGAAGTCGACACAGCTGAAAAGTGTGTGGCGAGTTCACAGAAAAAAGTATCCAAATAACAGTGAACTCGTCACACCACCTCCCCCGCGTAAACAACGGTCGACAGCGTTCGGCGTTGGTGGGAAAAATATTTCTGCTGTACGACATTTTTAACAGGTTTTATACATTGCACCCAAAAATGTGTCTGTTTTCTCTTTAAAATGTTGAAACAGATAGTTTGACATGTGTAGATTTTGATTGAATAAACTCTGGTTTTGTACATTAAAAAAATATATTAATTAAAGTTAAAGGTAGAGACGTGTGGGTTTGTCTGCCCATCCTCGGTGAACTCGCCACATGTTTCTCTCAAGTTTGAGAATGTGACGGAGATAACTGTGACGAGATCACTGGAGGTATGTGACATGTGACAACTTCACAGTGTAACGAGTTAAGTGGAAGCCTATACATCTTCACGTTTTAGTTTTAGTAAGAGTTTTACAGCACTCGCAACTGCATAAGGTCATGATCATATGAGCGCCATCTTCACCTTTGCTATAGTTGTTAGTCAGTAAGTTTTGTAAAGTAGGCCTGTAATATATTAATAAATTTTATAGGCTAATTATAATCAGTCATTTGTCTTTCAATATTATTTATACTGCTTTATAGTTATGCACAACTCTGAAAAAAATAAGTAAAAAGGTGGCCATTCTGCAGTTAAATTGAAATTGAAAACTGTCCTGTAGCTGTGCATTTTAACATTTAAAAAAATGCACAGCAAGAAGTGAAGTCACTCAGCACTGTCGAATTTGCTGAAACGGCCATTTGTCCTAGAAAATCACCTTTACTAAAAAAAACCCACTTCGCACTTTCATCCTGCCGATTTTTTCTTTTCTCTAGTATAATGACACTGTCCAAGACATCCACTTGTCTACTCTAAGATGACCACTTTTCTCCTTGTCTTGGACACTTTCAACTATGTTTGAGGTATGTCCTTGTTAAACAAACAGACACACACACAGCCTTTTATCAAGTCAAAGTAGCTTTTTCTGTGCTGCATAAGATCAACAACCCATTTCTGATAAAACCTTTGTCCCACAAGTACACTTTTCACCCCATTTCTTGTCTCCTAGTCTATATTATAATCCACTTAGTACATAGTAACATTGAATATGAAGTTTTCATCATTAGAAAGTTGTGAAGTTAAGCCCTATCATTTATTTACAAACAATACTTTATTGCACTTTGTCTCCTGTAAAATTAGTATCCTTGTTCCACTGTCCATCCAAATTAAAATGTAAGCCATGGCAGACACCTGTGTCCTTTCTGGGCTTGATGGCAGAAATTATAAGTCAGACAATCTAAGCTGCTTTTTGAGACGTTTCTTCCTGTTGATTGTGTTGTTTTTACACTGACTGCATTTAATTTAACAAAGTTTTCTAAATTCTGATTCTGATGTTTTTGAAGCAGGGATTGTCTTTCTTGTGTTGTGGTTTTTTTTTAAAGCTTTCTATATTATTTATAAGGCCTATTTATAATTTTAATTTCATCAAATTAGAATTTCTTTCGCTGCATTTTGTTGTCCATGCTGGATTTGGGTATTTTCTCTCTTTCCTCGTTGTGGGCAACTGGAGTGTAATCATATGACTAACTTCTTTTTTCTTTTGAGAAATAATAATGGGGTTCTTCTCTTTATTTTAATGTAGAGATATTTCTTTCTCAAACTTTTAGCAACATGTAGGTTGGATGCAATGTTCCATAAAAACAGTTTTTAGTCTTAGTTCATTGTCTTTATGCAAAGTTTAAATCGTTATCATCTGAAGGATAAATGAAAGTAGGAGATTCTTTCAAATTTAAAGATCTTCAGATTTTAAAGATCTTCAGATGCAATGTTTAAACAACATAATATGCTTCTATGGCTGGTAACATGAAGCATATTTGGATACAGAGATAACATTTTTTTTTTGCCTTCAGCTTGAAAATGAAGTGGACATTGCAGCTGGTCGTATATGGCAAAGTGAAATATATTTTTTAATGTGTATTTCAGCCTTTGAGCGGTTCAATGGAGCTGCCTGCCCACTACTTTCCTGTTGGTCTCTGTGCTTACACCAATGATCATCTTCCAAATGCTTGGGAAAGGAAGAAGTACACCAAGTTCACGGACTATGGTTCTCATGGTGCTGTTGATCTCAGCTTCAGTGAAGCCTCCAGAAAAGTCACTTTTGTTCCGCAGTACAGTCAGATGGGGTTGCGTGGTTTGTCATCAAGTGGATACTCCCTTCCGCTCTTGGAGAGACCATTGCAAGGTAATCTTAAAGGAATTTGAAATTTTCACTTCTTCTTCTATCCAGTGGTTGGGGCAACCGTGGGGGCACCACTGCATCTGAAAACCAGCTCTCGTCATTTATCTTTTCACTTCAAAGAGCATTAAAAGTTTTGAGGTGGCTAGAGTTCAGTTTTAGTTTTGTTTTCTTATAGATTTAGACATATTTTAAAACGGTGATGTCATGAACAGTATTTGATAATAATTTATCCTCCATTTTGTGCGTGCCTGAAATCCACGAAGAACGTGAAGTCGGTCCTGTTGTGTGGGTGTGAGACATGGAACGCATCACAAGCTTGCATAAAGAGGATCCAGGTTTTCTTGAACAGGTGTCTAAAAAAGTTACTGAGGACCAGATGGACAGACAGGGTCACCAATGTGGAAGTGTGAAGGAAAACAAGACAGATCCCAGTCAGATATGAGGTAGGAAGAAGGCGGTGGCGATGGATTGGACATACTCTCAGGAAGTCAGGCAGCTACATAACAAAGAAAGTTTTGGATTGGAACCCACAGGGTAAGAGATCAAGGGGAAGACCTCAAGGAACCTGGAGAAGAATCACAGAAATCGATGTACAGAAAAGTGGGAAGACATGGAATAACATCAAGAGGCTAGCCCAGGATAGAGAAAGGTGGAAGGTGTTTGTCCGTGGCCTATACCCTGGTGCAGGGTGAGAAAGGCAATGATGATGATGATGAAATACATAAAAGATAAACTTTGATAGAGAAATTCAAGATGCCAGAATGCCAACAATGATATGTCAGCCACCAACTCGCTCGATTCGAGTGATCGGCCCGAAAAGGCGACCGAGCCGGGCGATCGGCCCGATCCAGCCGTAGTGGGCACCCCGTATAAGAGTTAAGAGTATAAATTAAATTCATAGTGTAGCAACTTAAGCCTAGTTACACGATTCCTGCGTGCTAAAGTAGTCCAGTTAAACTAATATTGTTTTATTATTAATGCGCACAGGTATATATAAGGCGATTGTAAATAAACTTTAATTCATCTGTGCTTGGTTCACAACCCGACGTTCTGTCAAGTCTCTACAATAGTTTGCTTTGCTTTTCATCTACCTTTTCCAAGCTGTCACATACTTTCTTGTTATTGTTATTGTTATTGTCACTGAATGTGAGTTGATCTTGCGTCTTGCGCGCTATCATTCAAGACTGCGTGCTCAGGCGTGTTCAGCATGCAGAGGTGAGTAAATTATCAGTGTTTACGAGCGTCATTAAATAGGGCTTATTTATTGTAGCTAGCAAAGCTTAGAAATGTACTCATGTCTGCACGCAGAACACGCCTGAGCACGCACACTATTATCTTTCTCTAAAACATTTCCTTTGTGTACACTTAGTCATCTCTCTCTTTCTCTCTTATGCCCCCCCCCCCCTTACTTTGTCTCCCTCTCTCTTTCCTTATTTCTTTCTTTCTCACTTCCTGTCTGTCTGTCTGTCTGTCTTGTCTGTCTGTCTGTCTGTCTGTCTGTCTGTCTGTCTGTCTGTCTGTCTCTCTCTCTCTCTCTCTCTCTCTCTCTCTCTCTCTCTCTCTCTCTCTCTCTCTCTCTCTCTCTCTCTCTCTCTCTCTCTCTCTCTCTCTTTCCCCCTCGTATCCCTTTCAGTCCAGGTTGGCCCTGGAAAATAGGGTCAGAAGCGGCCTTCTGAATAATCTACTACTTCTTCTTCTTCTTCTTCTTCTTCTTCTTCTTCTTCTTCTTCTTCTTCTTCTTCTTCTTCTTCTTCTTCTTCTTCTTCTTCTTCTTCTTCTTCTTCTTCTTCTTCTTCTTCTTCTTCTTCTTCTTCTTCTTCTTCTTCTTCTTCTTCTTCTTCTTCTTCTTCTTCTTCTTCTTCTTCTTCTTCTTCTCTTTCTTCTTCTCCTCCTCCTCCTCCTCCTCCTCCTCCTCCTCCTCCTCCTCCTCCTCCTCCTTCTTCTTCTTCTTCTTCTTCTTCTTCTTCTCTCACTCCCTCTCTCTCTCCCCCTCTCTCTTTGATTTTTATCTATTTCTTTTATTGACACTTAACAACGTGTGTGCAGACGTGAGCAAATTTAAAGCTAAGCCAGCGACAATAAATAAACTACCATCTTTCGGCGTGACCTGCCTTGAGTCGTACCGCCAGTCCCCTCTTTGTCTTTGCGTTAATTTTCACTGCTCTGCTCTGCCCACCCTGCTTGCAGTGTGGCCAGAGCCTTAGGGATGCTGGAGCGATTTTGTGGCAGGCATCCTCATTTTCTTGGTTTACAAATAAAACTAGTTTTGTTTGGTGATTCAAATTTATGAAATTCTTACATAATAAAGCTGCTAATAAATGATGATTGAGGCCTCCGTCATATTTTTGAAAATATTATGGTTCATATTGCTTTTGATGTTAACCATTATTTATTTGTGTGTGTGTTTTGAACAGCCCAGTGGCAGCTGAGTGACTTCATTCTTGGTGGTCGCAGTTATCCTGACTCCCTGTTAAATATGCAACGAGTTTTGTGCGGAGCTGCTGACCTCAAAATGTCTGCTGGGCGGAAAAAGGTAAGTTATTGTACTCGTTTTTGTACTTGAAATGGTTGGGTTGTCCACTAGATTAATAAATATTGTATATTTTTTTTAGATTCCTTTAATTTTAGGAGAAAAGACAAAAAAAACAAACGAAATAACAGTTTCCATTTATCTTAACAGTATATATGCCTTGTATTTCTGTTACAAACATGCATGAAATGAGCAACACATTGTTTCTTTGACATCATGGATGCAATATACAGTGGAACCTGCCACGACGGCCACCTGTACAAACAGCCACTTTCCATTCCCCCCAAATATAATTCCTGTGTGTAAAGCGGTCACCTGTCCAACGCGGCCGCAGCTACCATTTTATATCACACAACCCCTACCACACCAAACAATAACACCTGTCTTAAATGGCAACATCTCTCATCGCCCGATGTTTTGTCATAAATTATGAATTTGCCCCTGGCGTTATGGATGAGCCGTCATAATCCAATCACCTATCGTTGTTGTTAGGTAGTTCCTCCAACCAATCATGTTGTGTAGGCCCCTCCTACTGTTGACCAACAGGTAACAATAAATTTTCAGCTGCTGGTGAGGTAAGCGTGTGATCCCTCATAACCTATAAGCCGCGCCCACAACTCGTACGCAAATTGTAAGTGAGATGAGTGGTCACTGTTTACCCAGTCTGTGACAAAGTAACAATGGACGTCAACATGAACTTGTGACAGAAGCGTCACTCGTTCTCCGAGTAGTGGCAACCCATGTGTTTGTTTTAACATGGCACTCGGTCTTACTCGTCTAACACATTTCATTTTACTGTCACTCTTGCACAAAATCAGCAACAACCAAAAAAAAGCTAACAATTGATCAGTCCTGCCTAAGATGGCCACTTTTCTCTTTGACAATGGTGGCTGTTTTAAACAGGTTCGGCTGTTATTGGAATACGTAGTTCTAGACGCTTGGCAAAGGTGTAGTAGATGTTGGACAAACCAAAAATCAACTCTTCACGATAGAGAACTACGTATTTGCATTATAATATTGCGTCCATGGGTCCAATGGCACAATGTGTGGCTCTGAGCACATGAAGAAAAACTCGTGATGCAGTTTGGGATTACAGAGTTAATAATATTATATTTAGAATTGTGATGTGACACAAACAATAAGATAAGATACATCTTTATTGTCCAGATCCTGGCACATTGGTTTGGTGTTTCACGTGTACACACACATACACAGACACACACGTGCGCACCCACACACACATGCACACACACATAGGCTTACAATCACATGCATAATATAAATGAGCAGCAATATAAACAATAATAATCGTAAGCTAGATACACACTCTATATTGGGAGGGACACTGGTTTTCTGATCTTCTGAAAAGTATTTACAGGTGATTTTTTTTCAAGATGTCTTCTGTGCTGTGTGTTCTTTTTGCCTTCAATTGTTTCATTTGAATCTCCAGGTTTGTAAAAATAATGTCAGCAAAACAACCCTTTATTTTGCAATAGAAAAACAGCTTATCTGAGATCTGAAAAACATGTTACATTTTTAAGCGTACTACTGAAATGAATTTACCAAATCTCCATTCAGGAAGACAGATCCAATCTGATTCATTTAATTCTAACATATCATGTGAGTGGCAGAAGTAAAAAAACCATTGTGTAATCATGAAAGAATAGTTTGATTTAATGTTTACAGTTAGCAGGCTCAATTAAATAACCTTCTGCCCTCAACTAAGAAACATTTGCTGTGAGACTAGATATTTTCTTCACCCAGTGACACCCCAAGAGTTCATTTCACCTTCCTTTACCTTTAGCTAGTAATGATTTAGGGCTCTTGATCAGACATTTAAGCTGGTTGTGACTTGTATTCTGTGGTTCTAGTTTCAGGAAATCTGGGGACATAAAATGCAGATTTGTCAACGTCTTCTTAAAAAAATGGTGGCATTGAATCAAGGCCAGGGCTCTGGAGAGGTGACTGATCCAAAGTATGCATCGCTCTGTTCACAACTGAGAAACAATTTGAGCTCACCAATGAAGACGTTTTTGAGAAAACACTCAAGTGTTCAACAGGCTTACAATGAAAATGTAAGTGAAGAACTTTGTCTATTTCATTGATTCTTCTCCTTCTTTTAATTATGAGGTATTGAAATTGTATTTAATGTCTATTCAGAAAGGACTATAGAGAGAAATGTCTTGTTATTCTTATATTGAATCGACTTTCTATTTTGTGTTCAGCCCTGCATTACCTGATTTGGAATTTTTTGTTTTCTTTCCATTGGGATAGAAAGCTCATAGTTACATGGTTAGGGATGATTTAACTTATAATGTGATAACCTTTCAAAGTGAATGTCCTGACCTCTTCAATATCATGCTGTATATTCTCATTTTATTTTTCTTGTCATCATTTAACCTGATCCGTTAGTGTGCCACCACTTTCAAAGATGAAATTTACTCGTTCATCCTATCTGTACGCTTTGCATAGCTGTCTGTCAAAATGATTTTTTGAGAAATACTGAATGTTTCAATGAGATGTTGTTAGCGATCCAGATAGTTTCAATGAGATCTTTGTATTAGAAGTATTCTAAAATGTGAAGAATACTACACGTGGGTACAAAATGACCCCAGGGTGTAGGGATAGGAACCATAGCCTTAAAATGCAGTAGAGCTTTTTAATTCTTTTGAAGAACTTTGTACTCTATTGCCAACACTCCCCTCCCCAAAATGATAGCAAAACAAAATTTTCATGAAAGTTCCTTTCACTTGTCTGCCATCTTGTTTCTTCACAATGTTTGTGGTGATACCATTTATTTTGATTTATTTCACTTTGCCTTGAACGTACAGATGGCTCAGTTGGGTGGACACTGCCTGGCTTCTTGTCAGTTTTTACCATCGGTTGTTTAAAACAAAAATTGCTGAGTCCAATGTTGTACGTAATGCACTGGGTGTGTAAGAAGGAGGGGTGTATAAAATTTATTATACTTGCTGACGACATGGATTGCTATAATGGGGTTGTTTTTCCATCATTGAGGCTATCAAGACAGCAGATTTTTTATTTTTTAAAATTGACCAAGCCTTTTTTAAAACTTTTGTATCAAAGGTGAATTTTGGATTATTAGGTAGCAAAAAGTTTCTTTTTATATTAGCTTGCATCATCCAACTTCTTTGGTTTTTAGTTTTTGTAAGAGTTTTATGGCACGCGCAACGCAATAAGTTCCTAGAATCTTTGGATTTGTATGTATCATTTTCCTGTTCTTTGGTTTTTTTTTTACAGTGTTTGCAAGGTTTCAACTCAGACTTTCACGGAGGTCTGCTCAGTCATGTGACCACGGACAACCCGTCTCAACATATCCTGGTCCACGCTGGTGGTGGGGAGCACTTTAGGGATATTTGTATCCTTTTTGAACACTGCGTTAGAGAAGAAAAAAAGCTTGCTTACTGTTCTTTCCTGTCTCTATGATAGAATATTCGAGGCTTGTGTATGGATTTAGCTGAATATGATTGGTTGCGTATGATATCCAGCTTTTTTTTCTTTTGGGAAGTAAAGTGTATATCGTATTGTTTGCCTTAACTGCAAATTTAAGATATGACAAAAGTAACACCAGGGGAGCATAGAAGTCTGTACAGATCTGAGGTGTTGAAGAAGACCACTTGTGTGGATCCTGTATTTCAGATTTCAACAGCCTCAAAACACAACAGTAAGTGCTTAAGGAGTTTATGGCCGTAAATTGTTTATCAAACTGTAGTTTACTTATAAATATAATGGGGTAATTTGTACTTTAATGTTCAGAAGGTATAGTTGGATTTTTCATCTGGTTTAGGCAGATTATTTCATGAAGGATTTTGATTTGTCCATCTGAAAGTTTACATGTTTTGAAGTTATAACATAATGAACAATGCATGGTGAATATTACCTGAATAAAGGAAAGGCATAAGTGATTGTATTTTTTCTTTTTGTTTGGAAATTATTTATAACAAAATGTTTTAGATGGACTGACAGGAACTGCCAGATTTGAACTGGAACTTTCATGACAAGATGTTCTGTGATGCTAGCGGAAAGCAATTTGTTTTCCAGCTTCTCTTTAATATTAATTGCTCTCGAAATGCTGCTATGCGCTTTCTGTTTTATAGAGATTTTGTTATTTTATGTGCAAAACCTTGTGAGGTCATACATTGAAGACTTTAAAATAATACTACAGTGAGCTGCTGCCATCCACCATATTTCTCTTGAAATTGATTAGATTGCTTACTATATTGCCTTTATATGCATGAAACTCAACTTGACAAAAGAAAGAAATTATAATGCATTTCTCAAGGAAGGCCTCTTTTCATGATGATAATTAATCGTCATCTATTGTAATCTTGAGTGGTGACATGATCAATGTATAACTTCTTCTGTTCAGGCTTTATCTGTGTCCGGAGCAGGCATAAATGTGTGTTGATTGGCACAGATACTGAAGACCCCCTAGAAGAAAAGGCTGTCTTGGATCTAGAAGATGAAATTTTAAGTTGTGTTGACCCGAGGTAAGCTCTTGTGAGCAGAACTATTTATATTCATAGATATACACTGTACTGGCATCTGTGGTGTTATAGCAGTTAGGTGCCTCACTGTTGCATACAGAAGACCTGAGTTTGATTCCTACTATGGGGTGAATTTTTATCAAGTATCTTGGTCTTTCTGCTGGAATGTTGGATCCCTCTCAGCCTAGGTTGAAGGGTGCAAGCCTATCTCATAAATGATTTAATTTGTGTTGATGGGGTCTTAAAAACACCTACTTAAAATAAAGGATATATATCATACTCATAAAGATTCATCCTTTAAAACTTTCATAACTTTTTGGAAATAAAGCAGTTCTTTTTTTTTATTGGTTTGCTTTTCATAGTTTATCTTTAAGATTTAGAAATATCTGATTGCTATGGAGTAGTGAAACTTGATCGAATGAGAATGTGATACTGACTTAAAGGAATATGATACAGTTCTTTAAGACTCAGTCTTTGCAAAAGTGATTTGCACAAAAATGTTTCTTCTTGTGGCATTAGTTTACAATTAAATCGACATGCTGATCTTTTCTACTGCACTAAAGGAGGGATTTTTTTTGTTCTTGCCATTGACCATGCTTGAGAAGAATGTTAAAGCAGTTACTGTTTTCAAAGTACAGGTGTGGCCCTAAAGTTGTTCTGTGCCGTCCACAGGCAGAGCAATGTAACTTCTCATTTTTAATGGGGCAAGCCAGGTGGGGACATGGGCACTTCCAATGCAGGGATGAATGAGGTTAACAAACCAATAAAACTAAACCCTTGATATTGTCAGATACCTTGCTCTGTCATGGAAGGGGAGGGCAGCCAATGGATTGGTTAATGATTTCAGGTATATTATGGTCTCTGTGTTTTTGCAGTGTGAGATGACAGTTTTAATGTTTAATAGTTATGGCAGTTATACTTCATGTCAGGGTATCCTTCTCCAACTGTACCAATGTTTCATTTGTATACATTTTTTTTCTTTTTTCTTTTTTCTTTCTATTTTGTCAGCCCATATGTGGACAATGAGATTGTGATGTCCAACAGTACAGGAACTGTTTATCTGTGGGATATTAAGGCTGGGTAAGTCTGTGGACAAAGTGAGCGGTGCATTTTGGTACAAAGTGGTTCATACTTGATTTTGCTGTTTTTTTGGAGAAAAGATGTTCAAGTGTGCACCATGAACAGTTTGATCTCTGATTTTATGTTAGTTTGTGGAAAATGACCAGAATGACCTGTCTTCACATATTTTTTGTCAGAGAGAAAAAAAATTGAGGTGGACTTTAAAGCTAGATAAAGTTCAAAGGTTGTTGTTTTGGAAAGTGGGCGGTAATTTATTTTAGTATAAAGGAAGGTTTATATTAGTGAATGGTTGTAAGTTAACATGACCGTGGTAAAATATTCACCTCAGAATTATAGAATATTAAATATTTGGTCCTTAGACATAAGCTGCACATAGTGGAATGCCATATTTTTTCCTTCTTTTTTACACACACTATCTTTTTGTTTTCCAGGAAAAAAAAACTGTTGGTCAAACAATCTAAGTCTGACCTCCAGGACAGGTGGACATGGTGCTACTTTGCTGGTCATCCTCGCCAGGTTGTGGTGGCAGATAATAAGTCCGTTGAGATGTATGACCACAGGGTAAGTAGTAGATAGAGAAACGTTTTGTTTGTTGCAGTTTTTTTTATTTTGGTAAAAGTTTTCCCAAATTTCACATGTCTGCTTTATTATAATTTGTTTCCTTTGTTTCTTTCGGGATGAATATAAATAACTCGACTTGAGACATGCTATTTAATATTGGTATTCATATGATTGAATGAAAAATCAAAGATTGAAAAACTACTGCATGTTGGGGTGGGGGTGCCTCCTAATGTACAAGCACAGTCATAATTGTCCAGGGTGGCCACCCATTGATGTGGAAAGAAGTGGTTGCCTTAGGTGGATATCTTGGACAGTGTCATTATAATATTGAAAAAAGTGCAAAAGGGAGTTGGGGGTGAAATTGGAAAGTGGTCTTTTGTTCAGATGAATGTCTTGACAAGCTGGCTGCTAGAGCAGGTTTGACTGTAGCTTCTTTTTCTCTGTAGTTGAGGGCATTTTGAAAATAAGAAGAAAGTGATATACTCCCCATTCTTTCTGGGTATTTAAAAAGTACTATTCTCTTTTTTATTATGAAATCCCTAAAATATAACAAATATTTCACAAAGGGATTTAGTTGAACAGAAGCATAATGGGCAATATGAAAGTTTTTCCCAAAAAAAATCCGCTTATTGTTTGTATATCTTTATATTAAAATTTCTTCAGACAAAGTTTTTGAAAGGCACCGAGATATTCGGTCTGAGTCCGAAGTTTGTGAGGTCAACTGAGTCTGTCCGAAGTGCCTGCAATGTTGGATTCCCTAACCACTGTGTTGTCACTGACAATGCTGTTTTCTTGATGGATCAAAGATTTCCTGCTGTGCCTGTGAGTTTTGTTAGTGTTATATGAGGCTAGACTCATTACAGTTGTGCTGCACTGGTTGTTAAAATGCTCTAATAATCATCATATTAATATTAAAAAATGGAAAGACTCAAAGCGTTATTTGCTTGCATGCTATTGTGTTAAATATGAGGTAGAGTTGAGTTTGAGTTCATTTGAAGTTATGTCTGCACATATGGATGTTTTAGTTTACTTGCCATGAGTTTTTGTTGGTAATGAATATTATATTGTTGCTTTAAACGTGAATGTTTTTGGAACATCAGCTTGTCTTTTTTGTTGTTGTATGGACGAGCACTAAAAGGGTTACGTAGATTTTCAGAATAGTTTGAAAGAATCTGCTGTATAATTTATTGTGCATTGCATTTTGTTTCCTTTTTGAGGTCTTTTGCGTCGGTAGCCTAGTAGTTAGGCTACCGGACTCGTAATTGTGAGATTGTGGGTTTGGGGGTTTGAGCCTCAGCTCGGTCTGACGTTGTGTCCTTGGGAAAGGCACTTTACACGAACTTCCCACTTGGCTCGGTCCTATCGGAGACGGACGTTAAATTAGGAGGTCCCATCTCTTAAATAACCTAATAGTGTTGGGCGTTAAACTCATACCATTTCACCATGAGGTCTTTTGAAAAGATAGTATGTACAACTTATATGACCTTATTCTATCCAATTTTTGGGTGTTGTGCAGATGGTGTACGTAAAACATAAATTTTCATGTAACTGTGTTATTAGTTGACAGTAATCCCCCCCCCCCCGTGGTCCTTCTTTTTACTTTTCAAGTGGAGCCTTCTTCTCTATGGTGACATACTCCTCTACTCCTCTCAAAACACAGTATGAATAGATATTGGGGTGGTCTTTTTTTTTTCTGTCATGACTGCTGATGTTAATTTTTTATGAAGAATTGAATTGTGAAACGATTTCAATGTAGGGGGGGGGGGGGGTGTCAGCTTACTTGGGCTACATTGTGGGGAACTTGGGTCAAATTTATTTATGGAGCTAACTTGGTTGGAAAGTTTTTAAGACTCCCTGCTCTTGTCTACTCTTATGGCTGAGGTTAAGTTAGGGTCTTTCCTCTGAAAATCATATCCAATTGTCTGGAAACAGGTTTTAACATATATAACTTAATGTTTCTATTGGTCAGGTTTTGAGCTGGAATCACGAACTGATGATGGCAAGCCCGCAGTATGTCAAAGTGTTCCCTTCATCCTCACTAGCTGGTGGCCCCACAGACAGATGTAGTGGCGACAAACTTCTGTTAGTTGGAGCCCAGCAACCGGCTGAGGTCATGTGTTACCCCATCAGTGTCAAGTCTTCCTCTGCCCCAACTGCCAGCTTTTTACCATTCAGAGTGTCCAGACCAGGGTTCGTTATTGCTTGTTTGTGGCTCACATTCTTTCCTTTCTGTTTATACTGTTGTAGTTATGTCTGATGATCTGCTGGTTACAGTTGCAAATAGAAAAGATGGTAGAGAAAAACAATCTAAAGTAACAATGTAGATTGTCAGTCGTTTTTCCTGCCTTCACCACTACTGGTATTTCCTCCATGCTTAAGTCTTTTGTACCATAACCTATTGCTTGGAGTCAGAAGTGATAATAACTTTTTATAAGAAAGCATAATGCCTGTGTAATAGTACAAAGTGATGAAAAAGTTGAATAGACAGTTACATAATTATCAGGGGAACCAGACCAGTTCTACTGACATATTATTGTACAAAGGCAGAAGGACTCATGCTAATGATCTAGAATCATTCTTCTCCTCAAAATATGTTTTTGCTTGAATTTCCAGCTCTTCTTTTTACTCATGATTACCATGTGGTCTACTAACTCTTGTTGGTGATACAACCTTGTAGCAAGTGTTCTTTAAGTTTCCTGTTTGACACTGGTAACTCTTTCCTGGAAATGTGTTTGCCAATTTTATTTTCAGTGTTTTCCTTTTACTTTTAAACAAAGGAGACTGGAAACTCATCTGTTTCGAGCTTTCTCATTACTCACCATGGAAGGAATAAAGGGACGTAGGTCTGACTGAAATGCACAATACAGTGAAATAGTCCAGACAGTCAGTTACTGTACATCTGTCTGTTTTTTTATCTTTGGGTGTGGGATTGTATGAAAACTACCAAGATGATTTTTTTTCTTTCCCTTATATAGAGACTGACATTATGATGATTACATTTTTATCATTCTTCCCACTCTTGCAGGGAGTTTGCTCAGAGACCGGAGGTATTGAGCCAGTCTGATGCTGATGTTGTAGGGAAGAGATTTGATGCTTCACTGGCAGGTGTGACTGCACTGCCTGCTTTGTCTTGCCAGGGGTTTACTGTGTACCAGGTGAGAAAAGTGAGAGAGGCATGAAATAGGTGATGAAGACAGGATGGTAGTAAGAGTCGAAAAAAGAGTAACTGAAGAGGGAAAAACAGAATGGTCATGAAAGAAAGAAAGTGAAAGCTATGTATGAACAAATCAATTAAAAAAAAGAGGCAAATAACAAAAATGCTTGTTTGTTATTTAAAGAGTTTATTGTATCGTAGAAAATTTTTTTTTCTTTGTGTATTGATTTAGGCATGACAAAAGCTGCTAAAATTGTAAAAGCTGCTACAAAAAGTTAATTGTTCCAACGACAAATAATATTCCATGCAGGAAGCTCAATATGATAAAAATGTTATTTTTCTTAAGATCTTAAGTCCCTGTGCTCTCTACATATCCATTGCTGCTCCCTTTTCCTCTTTATTTTTATGCTTAAGGGACTTTTCAACTGTAAATCCCCCCACCCCCACCCTTTTCCTCCTGTTCCTTTAATTCCAAATGTGATCTATTTATGTTGCATGGTGTCTTTCTTCCTAACAGATGGATAGCTATGGAGAAATATTTTACAAGCCACACTTGTTCCGAGGAAGAGATTTAAGGTCTGGTGTTCTTGAAATGAGCAGTAAAGATGAGGCAGTGGCAATATCCAGGGGGTGCGCCTGGGTGTCGACGATGGAAGCCGGGTATATGAGTGATGATGACGAGGACCTTACTCTGGAGTACACTAACACCACATTAAGTAAGTTATGTGGCTCTCTGGCCCCATATGTGGTGCAACCACTAACTTTGCATTCGATTACTCCTGTGTTTTGTGCCATGCAAAAAGTGAACCCGTGCAGGCTAAAAGATGTCCAAATGGATCTTTTCCCCCTTTTTCTTTCTTCGGTGAATTCGCTGTATGGTTAATTTTGGTGTCCAGTTATTTGAATTGTCAAATCTGTGCAATTGAAATGGGGTGGAATGTTTGACTGGCTGCTGTACATTTATCAAAAAAGAATAAACTATACATGTTATTGGACATTGTCCTCATAGCAATTTGTCTTGTAAAATAATGTACAAATGTGCGATATGACCTTGGTTACACTATAAGCCATGCACAGTTGAATGTCTTTTGTTAGAAGGAATGATGATTAATGAACTTGAGGGGTGTTAGAGATATTATTTTCATTTTGAGGACAAAATAAACCTTCGTCAAGCTTTTTAAAATTTAATTGATGTTTAGTTATGAATGTGAGTAGTGTTACTTTGGCATTAATTCAGGAACATCTGGACAAGATGGCTCTATGTATTAGGAGAATTCTTCTCTTTTTATCGATAGGCCCCCCCCTTAAAGAGGAAGTGGAAATAGGAAAAATAATGTAATCAATCATTGCTGTTGCTCAAAACACTATCCCCATATTGTTTTTGATTTTGCAAAGGTATTGCCTTTCCATCATAGTCACTTCTGTGTTTGTATAATTTTTATTTTGCAGGTAAGAAAATAGCAAAAGACATTTTCTCAAGTTGCGGGTCTGAAGAAGAAAAGGTCAGTATTTAATATATATAAAAGTAGTTTATGAGAGGAATTGTATACAGACCACCTGGGCTTTATTTGAAACAGATGTCCTACATTCTGTATGAAATCTTGTCAGAGTGAAATAGATTGAGGCACCTGCATTGAGCATGAAATAGGCCTCTTAGTTAGTGGACATGTAGTGCAACTATCATTTTTTTGTGAACCACACTCTTTTTTATGTTGTTATTGATGGATTCATCACTTTTATTGCTTTATGTACTCTAACAGAACCTCGGGTTATGTTATGGGGGTGGGGGGTAGGGTATACTTTGACTCCAAAATGGGCTCATTTTTGTAGGTCGAGCATAAGATACAGAGTGAAATTCTGACATGCTGGAGGGGGCTCAATATGTGTGGAATCAAGTACTAATTGGGATTGAAATATAGTGTCTTACCTTTTAAGAACTTTTAATTGAGATTTGTTCAATCTGTGAGCTTGGAGTGGCAGGTAATCTAAGCAAGTCGTGGTGATGTGCTGTAATTTACCCAGATTTTTAATCAATGTTGGGCTTGATCTTGGTTGCTTGTCATGCATTTAGTACTGGGAGAATATACTTTTGGACTTCAGTTTAAAAAAAAAATTGCTTGAATTATAGATGGGTACATATGGTAAAAGGAATTTGTTCTAAACAACTGATTTAGAAATGAATTTATTCAATACAAATATAAGAAGTCTTATTTTTGTAAAGCTGGTTAGAAATGCTTGCGGCATGCACCATAAAAAGCCAGTTCTGGTTCTGGAAAGAAAATATTTAATGTAAGCAGCACAGTTTACGTTACTTGTGGCTATATCTGTTTTGCTGATGGTAAAATTTCTAAGAGAAGTGCTCATTTCTCAGGATGGACAGATTAATATGCAAATAATATTAGTATTTTGGGGTTTTTATTTGTATTTTATACATCTGACCATTGAGGTCTCTTTTTTCTTTGCATAGTCTCTACGCTTTCAAAATATTATTTGCTGTCATTTTAACCCTGTCGTTGCCAGGGGGTATGCGTTCCTACCGTCAGCATTTATTTTCAGCTGAGCTTTTTTCCCAGGACAGCAGCCTAATGACTCAGTGTTAATGGACGCGCGATCTAGATCTAGCCCACTCATGACATATTTCGGACTCCGAGTCTTCGACAATTGTCACTTTTCTGACTTGTTTTATTCCTCATTTCTTCCCATCTTACTCATAATTTTGATTAACATGCAAATTTAAGTGAAAACGTGAATTTATTTTGCCTTTTTTAAGTCATTACGATGTTTACATTTTACAAGAGCACAGAGCATGCGGCTGCCCGCAAACGTTTATCGATCTCTAACAAGTATTGCAGTAAAGTAATACTAGCAAATTTGGTACCAATAGGTATTTTTTTTATTTCTGAATACAAATCTACATTATGCTTGTGGCTTAAACTCCATACAGAAGAATTAAAGCCAGGCTATTAGCGTGATGTTCATATAACATCATATAAGCAACTAGGAGCGGCAAATTTTACCAACTTCCTTGACGTACATGGTATGGCACAGCGCTAAAAATTACACATTTTCATGATGTACCAAGGCAATGAAGGGGTTAATCAGTCTGTTTTGGAACTGGATTGCCTTTCAGAAAAAAAATGTACCTTGTTTTTTTTTTTCAGGAAGATGATCACATTGCAATGAAGAAAAAACTTAGGAAAAAAATGTTAAGGAACAAAAAGAAAGGGGTGAAATCTAAGGAATTTGTTCAACAAAAAGCTGTCGTCAGTGACAGTGAGGATGCTAAGGGAGAACAGGACATAATGGAAGAGAGTGAAGATGATGAAAAGGAGGAACAGGAGATAGCGGAGGAGAGGGAAGAGAGCAAGATCAAACAACATGGACTTGAGAAAAGCTGGACAGTGGACATTGATGAACTACCGTCTGATGTCAAGGTGTGCCCGGATAGTCCTGCCTTGCTGGCCTCTGGGCTGAGACTGGCTGGTGTGTCTGGATGTGCACGAAAGTTGACATACTGTGAGTCGGCCTTCACTGGGGTCTCTTCCTCTTCCTGTGACGGTTTTCGTTCTATAGAGAAGTCAAAAAGTTCTCTGGCTGCTATGAACTCAAGCACATCTCACTGTGTCAGAGAGGATGGAATAGATAGCAGCAGAGCACAAACACTTTTGTCTAGGGAAAACCTACCATCTCCACAATCCCCTGTAGAACGTCTTGCAAAATTAAGCTCGGCGAAAAAGTCACCTTGTTCGCCTTTGAAAAGGACAAGAAGCCGATCAAAACCTGTCTCACTGTTCAGACCACCACGTAACAGCACAGTGACAACAGAAGTGGAGACTGAATGTGTGGCTGCTGCCAACCATGTGAAAAACTCAGAAGAAGTCTCAATGTGTTCAGAATATTCAGATGTGTCAGAGCTAGATCAAAGCCAACTGTCTGGCTCTGGTAGTGAGAGAGCACAGACGAGGAGGATTAGTAGAAGAAAGCGTCCTCTCAGTGAAACAATGTTTGAGGACCCAGAGAGTCTTTTTAAAAGAAAGAAACAAAGGAGAATTAGCTGAAGTTACTTTTGTGTATGTAGGCGTGTGTTTCTTTGTGTGTATGCGGGTGTGTGTGTGTGGCATTGGGAACCTTTACAATTGTGATACTGCCGAAGTCAGTTGTTACATATATGGTCTGGTTCTGCTGCTCATGTGTGGTTATTGCTGATGTCTCACTGTTCTTGTGAGAAGGTAGAGCAACCTGACTCCTGATATGGTGAACATAGTCCTGTTTGTAGAAGTAAAACTCGGGCAGAACTGAGTAGAGTTTTCCCAAAATGAGCAGTAGATGCTAAAAGGAATACCGGTGAATGTAATTGACACACTACTGTGGCTACAATGTACATGGCAACAACCTGCAGCTTGTGAGCCTGTCCATGAACATGGCGTGCTCTGCCTGTACTGAAATTTTGTTGTAGCTATTTCAGTTTTTAAAAATAATTTATTCGATGTTGCTGTTTCAGTTACCCTCCAGGGGGAGAAGCAAAAGTGTAGCTTTTTGTCACTTTTGTGCCTTTTTCACTTGAGATTTATCTCAAATTAGATCTGAGCCCAGTGATTGTTTTTTGTTTTTTTTACAAAGAAGAAACAGGCTACATATTTATATGTCGAAGATGTTTTTGTCTACCTCAATATAATAGTATGTGCAATTCTGAACAAATATTGTCATCCGTGACATGTGGAAATAAAAGATGTACTATAGTCTGTGTTTATATAACTAAAATTTTATTCAAGTATGGCGGGATAAATGAACTATTGGTTTCCTGTCACTCTTAGTAAAATGACATTTCTATCATGCTGTCAGTGTTGTGTTAGATTGAAGGTTATTTTGATCTTCATGCTTGGGCATTCAATACTTGAGACTTGAGGTGGATCACTGCGAATAACTGAATTCGGCCATACTGAATGACTGGATCTGTATGTTTACTTAAATTTTTTACTTAGTTGGGAGAGTGATTAAGTGATTAAATGTTAAAAGAGTTTTACAAGTGCAGTCAAACCTCGTTATACTGCTCCCCCCCCCTCCCGTTATACCACCAGCCCCACTTACTGCCAGGTTTTGTTAATGTACGAAAAGAAAGCCTGATCTATAAGTATAAGCATAGTATTTGCTCTTTTACTCCCACCTGAGTTGTATGGTCCTTATTATTTGTAAATTAATATAAATTTACCCCGCTGTACCGCTAGCAACTGGCCAACAGAATTACACACTACTACTAGCACTACACATGGTGCACAGCACCCATTTGTTGTCTGCGTGATAATCTCTCTCCTACAACACCGTAGTCCACCAGCAAAATACCCGGTGTGGCCAGACATCAGCTGGCGGGGGGCCAGTGAGGCACTTTTATTTTTTGAGAACTCACATTTAAATCTATGCGACAGGTCTGAAATGGTTTGAGACTGATGGGTATTAGGTGAAAAATCTGTACGCCTACAAGGGAGTTGGGGTATCAGTCCAGCTTCTGATTCGGCGTAATTTTCAATTTACATAGAGTTTAGCTTGGTTTAAACTTGTATATATGTACACACACACAAACACACATGCACATATGCTTACATATAATAAATATATTGATAATTCCAGAGAGAGAGGGGGGCAGAGAGCAAGAGAGAGAAGACTCTCAGATGTAAAACATCAACATAAAGACATTTTCAAATAGATCACACTGCAGAATCACCTCCCTTGACATTGGGCAGTCGGGGCTATAATTAACAGAGGAACCAGTTAAACTGCTAGCCGTGCTATTCTGTCAACTTCATGCTTGTCCTGAGGGTGGTGGTATATAATAACGAGGCTTGACTGTACATTTAGTGCAGTTTTGGGCTGTTGTCCGTTGTTGACTGTATTTGGAGTTACATCTCAAGGAGCATTATCATTGGCATTAGCATGTGTTACCATATTGTGGATCGACAGTAACAAATTTAGCAGTAACATAAAATGTATGTTTGTCAACATTCTTTTCCTTGTCCCTCTATTGTCTTTCTTCATCCCAGCATTCTTTGACTTTAAACACTTAATTTAAGTGTCAATCAATACCTTCTCCCTAATCCAAACATTTTTCAACAACTTCTTAATTGAACAAATTCTGTTTAGTAAGCTTATAGGTATTGGGTCAGTACTTTAAAGTTAACAGTTTGTATAATTTGAACAGCGTCTTCACTTCTTTTGTTCTATTTCCCTTCTGTATTCAACTCACTACCCCTTCTAGCAAAATACTTTCATGACATGTCTATTCTCACATTTGTTTTTACAAATTTAGCATTTTATATTGATCCCAAGCTCTTTGACAATTGCCCTTGTGGCGCCTCTGGGATGAAGGAGGCAAAGGGAATTATTGGTCTAGTTTTCCTGCCAATGGGGATTGGTTTGAAAGTATGCAAAGGAAAAAAATGCATTTAAAAGTACACTAAGGGTAGACTTGATGCATTCATGGATTTTAATTGTATACTTTAGTAAGTATCTGTCTAAAGTCAGGGGAAAGAAAGACAAGTTTGCTTTAAAAAAGAGAATACAGTGGGTGTCGCATTCAACGAGGTTGCCGGGACCGGCTTGTTGTCACCGTTGGATCTGACCTCTCGTTTAACGTAACTAAGGCTAAAGAAAAGAAAGGAGACAAGTTATTAAAATTATTACATGTTTTATATTAAACGATGTACCAATACCAGTAATTAAAACAGTTCTTCCCCCTGATGACGGAAAAAAGCATCAGTGTGCGCGTGTTTAAGCTGTGTTCTGACTGTCATTTCTGCATGTTAAATTTTTTTTTTTCCGGAACACTTCTCGTGTGGAAACATACTCTCTCGAATCTAGGCCTAGATCTACATAAAGTCATAAAGTAAAGGCGGGAGCTTGGATTTTCTGATCAGGGGAAGAAAAGAAAACTGAATTTTTTTTTTTTTTTAAATGAAGGTCTCGATCAGTCTAGACCTACCCATCCAGAGTTCGTCCAGTTTCACACTGCCGCATCGCGTTCCCACCCACCCTTTCCCATCCCTACCGTAGGCTAACCCTCGCCCATCCACTTGGCTTTTGGGCCCATAATATTAGGAGCAAACTAGATCTAGCAATACAATGTGTTAAGAATCGAGGATGAGCCTTGTACTTCGCGTGAGATGGAGAGAAAGGAGAAAAATTCTTCGCTTTTGCGGCCGCTTATTGCTTTTATTTGGTAAGCGACTTCGGTCTGTTTGCAACCTCGTTGGAGCTGACGTACATTTACAAAGAGATATATAGAAGAAAAAACGGGGATTAAGGATTGCCTCGTTGGAGCCGACTTCTCTTTGAATGCGACACCCACTGTATTATGATCTGTTTTTTAATTTAAGGTTGAATAGCTCAGAATTTGTTTGCAAAAAATGTTTACTATTTTAACACCGATACAATACATACATGATACTAAACTGTAGTGTATGATCATCATCATCTTATTGCCGTCACCAGAAGCGTGCCTGTCTGAGAAAAGTCATCTTAATTCCATTTGCTGTTTGTTTTATTGTGTTGAGTTCACAGATTAACTGCCATTTTACGATATAATACACTTTTTGTTTTAATAAAATAAAAATAAAAATGTTTCACGTGTTCTTTGCCTTGGGTCCAGATGGTGGCTTTATTCTCTTTGTTTCCTGCAGGTTTCAAGTGTTGCCTTGGGTAAACTAAAGAATGTTCCAACTTAAGGAAGAGCTATGGCACTGTCAGTGGGTTCTTCTGGTTCTCTCGTTTGTTAATTTAATGTACAGTATGGGTCCACCTGTTACCTCCAATTGTTCGTTTTCTTTTCTGGAGACAGTAGGTGCCAGGTTTGACCTACAGCTGGTCATTCAACTAATTCCATGATCTCTTTTAGTCAAAATAGAAACCTTCTTTCTTTTTACTTTTTCTATTGTTAATTTTGTTAGGCTTAATCCTCTCTTAGTGCAATATTACAGGGATGATATTTGCACACTTTATTTTGCCTTCTCTTTAGCAAAACATAAAAGTATGATAAAAGCGTCATTTAATAGGAACGGGTAGGCTGGTGGTAGGGATTAATACAAAAACAAAAAAAACAACTTCAAAATATTCAAATTCAAACGAGGTTAGCCCAGCTTGTAACGTGGTGTAAGGTGACACGGGGACCCTTGCTCAAACCCTTAAATCCGCGTGATGGAAGATGGGTTGTTTGAGGAGCCCACCAGATTGTCCTTATCTTGGCCTCATCAGAGATAGACATTGAATATTGAATCGGAGGACCTACTTTTGAATAACAAAATGTGTTGAAAAAGGTGTTGAACCCATTTTATACCCATTGTGTAAATATGCTTACTATTTTTGTACAGTACGTCCTTAAAACGATTATTTTCCAGCACATAACGACAGACAACAGCTGGAATCACCAGCGACGTCATATTATAATATCCCGGGACCCATGTTTGACAACCTCGTCTCCCAAGACTTACGGCTGGACCCATGCTCTTACGGCTGGACCCATGCTCTTCTTATATATATACAAATGTATATATGTATTAATATATACTGCTTTGTTGTTTGGGTAGTTGGGCTTCCCTGGGGTTGTGAACCTGAACCTATGGGGACGATCTATCAGAACATGTGACAAACCAAGGACAGAGTGATTACGCAGGAAATCGTACATCGTCATTTTCAGCCCCCCCCCCCCCCCCCCCCATATCAAACTAAACTAAGAAAGGAAATCCGTTTTGCGTGACGATTGCCAAGGCTAAGTAAATATCTAGCTACTTATTGCCTACTTTGGTCCCTTATACGATACATCTATTGAAAGGTTGGGGTTTGAAGTATGTAAAACACATCAACTTCATTCTGAATGCGTCTGCGATGACGTAAATCCAGTCCACTTGGTGTGACGTATGTGTGACTTGAGCTGTCCTGTAACAGTAGCACTGATCGAATACTTAAGTTCTAAAGCACATGTATTAAACTCCTGGCTTGTGATATAACTCGCCACTGACACGAGCAAATACAAATCTTTATAGATGTGTGCCGGTGTGCCGACCCAGTGTTTGGCCAGTGTATTGGTTCCCTGGACTAACGGCAACAGGAAGAACTGGTCGCAGTTTCTTTGCTCAAGAGCCTGTTTCTTTATTCTGTAGACCTACCGCCTAAGTAATGGCTTTGATCTGGGTGTGGCGGTGTCCTTTCCCGTGTGCAAGTCACTCTCTCTGCTACAGAATAATAAAGGGCACTCAGTTTTTTAAACACGTAATAAATCATATAATATAAGTACGAGAGCTGTCACAAAATAAAGAAGAAAATGACCATGCCATAACTCATAAAATAACGCATCTATTTTCAATTTGTAAGCGCTGCACAGCAGCTTGTGCAATGCACTCTACCTTTCAAAATCACAACCCCATCGTAAAAACTTACATGTCCCCGTCGTTTTATGCAAGAAAAATTAAGAAACTATGCAAACTGAGCCCAAAAATGTGAAATTATGCGATTCTGTTAATTTTAACAAAGAATGATAGAGGAAATACATTTGTAGTCCGAAATTATGCAAAAAATGATCAAATATTGCTAAATTATGCGGGGTGCATAAAACCACGGAGACAGACGTACTAGTGATTGGTACTAAAAGAAAGATGGCTACCATCATTTGAAAAGTGGTCGAAGTTGGAGGTTAGAGGTGAACTAAGATTTTTTGCACACGAAAGGGAAAACATTGTGGGTGGTTGGAGTGGAGCCATGGACGCCCCCCCCCCCCCCCCCCGTCTTCTGTGACAAACAAGGACTTTGCAGGTGTTCATGCTTTCGTTTGTAAGACTCCCCGTCGTTTTATGCAAGAAAAATTAAGAAATTATGCAAACTGGGCTAAAAAAATTTGAAATTAGGCGATTCTGTTAATTTTAACAAAGAATGTTAAAGGAAAATAATCAGAAATTATGCAAAAAATGATCAAATTTTGCTAAATTATGCGGGGTGCATAAAACCACGGGGACAGGTAAGACAAGCGACTGGAATTCATGGTTTGGTTGACGATCTTGACATTCTAAAGACTTGTTCATAGCACAGTGTGTGGCGAGCTTGGGTACCGTAAAGTTTCGGCTCACTGGGTGCAGAAACAACTGACAGATCTCAAGATACAATACATGAAAGCTTTTCAGACACCTTTGGAACAGTGCAGGGATGGCATTGATCTGTCCCCGTGGTTTTATGCAAAAAATTGTTCTGAAACTATGCAGACTGAGCCCCAAAATGAGAAATTATGCGATTCTGTTAATTTTAACAAAGAATGGATAAAGGAAAATAATCAGAAATTATGCAAAAAATGATCAAATTTTGCTAAATTATGCGGGTGCATAAAACCACTGGGACAGATTGATGGCCAGATAAGACCTGGTAGAGACAATGTTTTCTCAAACTATGAGAGCTGATTGTGGTGTCACATGACCGGGTGGATATTTTCTCGACAATCTGATAACAGAAGACGAAATATGGATGCGTTACACAACCCTTGAGAGGAAAAGGGATTCCCTGACCTGGAAACACCCCTCGTTACCAACGCCCATAAAGTTCAAGGTTCAGCACTCTTCACAACAAACTCATGGCAACCTTTTCTGGAGTTTTGCTTTTTTAAAGACACTCTACCCCCCCCCCCCCCCCCCCCCCCTTCCCCCTGGTCAAACTGGCGGTGCCAGGTACTGTGAAATACTGCACAGATTTAAAGTAGAAGCCCTATGACGAATTCAAATGGCAATCGGCTACATTCTGCTGCAAATGTGGGACGAAAACGGACAAAATTTTAAAATGGTGGCTGACGATAGTGGGACGGAAACGGGCACTGAAACGAAGATGTGGGACGAAAACGGGTGTACCGACGAGCTGCTTCGATCCTGCCAGTGAGCGCCACGCCTGACTGTGTGGGGTGTTCAACGAGATCAAGTACATGTGCTAAAAAAGGGGGTTCCCTTAAACAAAATACTGTCTTCTCCTGTAGGAATTGAACTAGACTAGTGTCTTTTTTCTACCTTGACTCTTGTTCCCTTGGTGCGAGATATAAGCTTTTGAGAGGATTACTACCTTTGACCAAGTGAAATCGAGTGCAGAGGACTGAAGCATTATAAACCAATAATCTTGCGAAATGACCAAGGAAATTGCTGGCGCGTGTACTCGTGGTGTGAAAAACGGTTTGCTACTCTCTTCACTGCACTTTTTAAAACGATTTAACACGATCGTAATTTACTTTGTTTGATACCCAGACTCTACCTGGAGAAAGTCAAAGAAAGCTGCAAAGTGTTAAGAGGATCATGGCATTTGGTAATTATGTCGTCTAGGTGCACTTGTGCATGTTTTACAACTAATGCCCGCCACCTAAATTACCTTACCGCACTGAAACAGCAGCAAAAATGTAAATCTGTTTGACATTTTGGAACAAAATCCCATAATCGAGACAACGAGTGAAAGAAACTAGATTTGACCGTGCGTGATTTCCAATTTGGTTTGTTCAATTTCGCGTCGCTCTCTCACGCCCTGAATGAGATTACTCCCAATCTTTTTTTTTTCTCACTCCGCATACCTCATTTCACTTTTCTCAGGGCTCAGTTGGTCTCCCTGGTATAATAATTTGCTCCGGAATCAGAAAGGCCAGCCAGCTCATGATGTTACTCCAGTACCTAAGTCTTCAGGTCAGATGTTGTCCGGGGCCGCAAAATGTGTGTGTGTGTGTGTGTGTGTGTGTGTGTGTGTGTGTGTGTGTGTGTGTGCGTGTATGTGCGCGTGTGTGTTTGTGTTTGGGAGGGGTGATGATAGGCCTACTTTTCAATCACAAGGCGAATAAATTTGATAACTGTTCTGTCGAAGTTCACACAGATCGACGGTTTTCAGTAAAGCAGCAACAGCAACAACAACAACAATAATAATAACAAAAACAACAATAACAACAAACAACAACAACAACAACAACAACAACAACAGCAACAACTAGTTATACATGTATTCAGATAGCGATATTATTGTTATGTCCCGTGGTTTTATGCTCCCCAAAAAATCTGAAATTATGCAAGCTGACCTCAAAAACGTTAAATTATGTGATTCTGTCAATTTGAACTAAGAATGATAAAGGAAAATATCAGAAATTATGCAAAAAATGATCAAATTTTGCTAAACTATGTGGGGTGCATAAAACCACGGGGACAGCAGTATGAATTAACAATCAACGATAAACAAAGCAGAATTTAATCATTTTTACAGTAACAGACGCTCACGCGCTATTCACAGTATAAAAACAGGAGGGGGCGAATATACACTATAGAAGCGCCTAGAGGTTAAACGGAGAGCTTTGCTCTCATTGACATGTCTGTGGGGGTTCACCTTTGCCAAAACCAATTTCATGTATGTACTACAATCGAATCCCAGGAACCCCAGGTAGAAATTATGAACGACTTTGGTGGTCACTCAAGCAAGTAGTAAGTGGAAGATCTTCTTTGGTGGTAGCAAAAATAGGCACATCAATCTTGGAAGAACCAGATCATCATAGCTCTAAGAAGTGTAACTGTAAGTCTTGGCCGAAAATCACCTAAAAGTTAAGAGCACACATTACAAATTACCTGATACATAATATGCTCATCTCACTCTCAGGTCAGGCTTTTGGTGGTAAACAAGCAAAAATCTTTCAGCTGTACGTTTACATAGTCAAACTCAGTCTCCCGCCCCCCCCCTCTATCTCTCTCTCTCTCTCTCCCTCTCTTTCTTTCTCTCTCTGTCACACTCCCCTCGCCCACCCCCACCTTAACTCCACACGTCTCAATTCAATAGATTCCGGTTTTCCCCAGCAAACAGACACCTCACCACTATCCTAATGACATCTAAGTTTCCAGAATGTATTGCAATCGGTTGTTTTTTCTCTTACATCTGAAACCTCGCCCGAATCTAGTAGCAATAGCTTGCTTAACCCGTTGCAACGACAGAAGCCCGAAGAAAACAAATCCCTTTAAAAAGATCCCCCCCTTCCAGCTCAGAACAGCGGAAATCCTTTCAGTACCCTTTTCTCACAGATTCAGCTAGCAAATTACCCTGCCCTCGTGTAAATATTTTGTGTCTCGATCTAAAAAAGCGCATAAATCGGGCGCTCTCGAGGGTTTCTCTGGAAAAACCTAGACACTTACTGCGGAAGCATACGCTTCAAATTTATTTCCCTATTTAGATCAATTGAGCAATCCCCCCCC